AAATGACTGCAACCATTAAAGGTTTTATTGTTAATAAAATGTCAAGCAGTGATAATAATTTTAAGAATTCTACAGCGTATGGGTAAAAACATGCAAAAACCTCCTGAGAGCCCAGTTGCTCTACCCATAAACTCAATGGGTAAAATAGAGAGGATACTTTTCCTCATTTGGGGAATATTAAGGAACAACTTAACCTTGCAGCCAGTTGGCTGAGTTTGGACTTGTAAACAAAGCCCTGAAGCCCTGAAGCTGTACTTTCAGTAATTAAAGCAAAGGCTGATGCCAGAATCTGTTGCTGCCTGTATTTGCTCATTTTTGATCACGAACCATTCCAGTGAAAACTACATCTGGATGTTGCATCTTTAAGGCCCTTTAATCAACTCAGTCAGAAAATGTAAAGTGGACTGAAACTATGCAGCACGTTTTTACTCATACTGAAGAAGCTTTAGGAAGACTTTAGTACTCAAAACATACACACTCACACACCAGCAGGTACAACTTATACAGTTTGTTACGTGCCTTGCTCGGGGACACTTCAACAGATCGCAGGAGAAAGTCGGAATCAAATCCACAATATTTCAGTAGTCGACCCACTGACCCACAGTTTTCCCCGCTGGCGTGCAAGAACATAGATGGTGACAAAATTTCTGGCATGGTATATCAATGGTAGAAAAACTATGAATTTATTTGTTTTAGTCGCTGCTTTACATCATTACAGCCCAAGTCCAGTCCAACACGTCTGAATAAAAAGGCTGACTTCGCTCTCTGGCAGTAACTCAGCTCTCCAAACGCCTGCTAATGAGCCAATCATTTGATGCAGGTGTGTTGCAGAAGGAACCCATCCAATAGTTGCAGGATGGCACCTCATTGGGAATGGACTTTTTCACCCTGCTTCAATAGGACGTGCTTAAAGTTTTGACCTATCAACCTTGCAGTCTATGTTGAAACAAGTATTGATATAGCCTATTCTGCAAACATATTAACCTCATTTATATTAAACCTACAGGGGTCAAATATGAAGCCAGTCCACCCCCTGCAAATCTTCAAGAAAGGCAATTCATGAGATTAAGGAATGTGCTGAAGGGAATCTGTAGAGCATTTGTGAGGTCAGACAGTGATGTTGGTTGAGAAAGCCTGAATAGCAGCATGTACTCTATTTTATTCCATCGTTTTGATGTCAGGAATCTGTGCAGGCCAACTTATCAACTTATCCCACGCCCCATTCACCCATCCATCTCTTGATGGATTTGTGAATTGAAAATCAAAGTTGGAAGCATAACGCTGTCCAAAATATGTTGGTGTGCTGAAGGATTACAAGTTTGTTTCACTGGAAGAAAGAGGTCAAGCCCAGCTTCTGGAAAACAGCCACAAATCATTATCCTTTTTGTACCAAACTTTACAGTATAGTCTGTTATGCCAAATCCAGACTCTTCCAACAGATATAGAGGTAGGACTCATCGTTTCAGAGGACAGGTCTGTATCACCAGAAAAAAGCACATTTTACAACCTTTTGCATCATATTTTGTGATATAATGCTTGAATCCACCTGCCTGGTCAAGGAAACATTCAATTAAGCTCTCTGTCCAGTTTTTAAGCTAATCTGAAGGCACCAAGTGAATAAGCTTCCACTGACTCTCCTCTGTGCATTTCGTAGTAGAGCTACTGTCCTCCCAAACTGCTTAAACTACAGCAAGGATATTTCACGGTATCACACTGAGAAATGAGAAATTGTTTGTAGAAGTAGTCCACAATGTTGAATTTCAGAAATATGTGAACATGGAAATGTATTTAGATGGTTATGTCAGTGTATAAAATAAAACTCTCCGTACTCTTAAACAGTGCGATTAGTTTGAATCAGAAGCATCGGGTGTGTTAGACAAGAACACGTTTTAATGAGACTTTTTATTCTGTAAACAAACTGACATACTTTTTTTATGGCACAACATTACAGGAAATACACGGAAACATCTGCTATGTTTTATATGTTTTTACAATAAATTTAGCATGTGAAACAGTGCTGTACATGGTCTTACTACTCATGATATAAACTACAAACTGTCTAATTTGGTAGGTATTTACACAGTTCTTTTAAGATTTAGATTCTATAAATGTAGAGTTTGAAACCCCTCAACAAACAGAACCAATGTGGGACATTAATGTTTACAAATATAAACAAACGGTATGTCCTGACAAAATATATGAAAGCTCATGAACAAGACGAAAAGGCTAAAACAAAGTGGGCACCAGTTCCTGACGTTCAAGATTCAAAAGTCTAGCGCTAGTAGGAAAAATGACTCGTAGTCCTTTGCCAAAAAATAAAAGAGAAACTCTAGAGCTGCTGAAATTTGACACCACTCCATTTTTGTTTACTTTTCGTCAAGAAGGAAGTTGCGCTCATGTCTTTTTCAGACGTTTTTGTGTCGTTTCCCTCAGTGGTTCTTGGAGTCGAGCCAACAGAAGCGAGGGGGTAAATAGGTTTTTGAAAGAGTTTGGTTTGTTTGGCACAGAGAAATGCGAAACCACCACATGTTGATGTAACAAATGTTGCAATCTTGGTCCCCGATCGAACTGAGTCTTTCGGACTCGGTTTCAGATTCTGATCCCTCAGTGGATCTGATCAGAGTTCCTGACTTAACTTGACTCCTCTGTTGTTGGTGTATGTCTATGTTTATTTACATAACTGTCTACTGGCTTGTGCATGGCTTGCAAAACTGTGTAGGTCAGCCATGTTTGATGTTCTGATGTTGCTATTTATAATAAAAGGAACTGTTTTGACTGCTGCACCTCTCTGTCTGGTAGGTAGTCACGTTTCGTCGACGTTTTTCTCAGCACAAAATGACAACTCTGTCATGATCCGTGTTTTTTGTGTCATTTTAGGGTTTTTCTGTGTTCAGTTTCTGTCCTGTGAGTCTCTGTTGTCTCTGCACCTTTCCCGTTGATTGTTCCCAGGTGTGTCTCGTTCCCTCGATTACCCTCCCAGTGTATTTAGTCCCACCTGTTGTCTGTGTTCCTCGTCGGGTCCTTGTCTAATGTTGTCTATGATAGTTCGTCTGCCGGCACAGTACAACTGTGAAGTCCTGTGTCGGCATAAGCTCGTCTTGTTTAATTCAGTTGCTACCGGTGCTGAGCCTCTGTGTTTCCGCTCTGCCGTGCTGCCTGAGATTTGGACTGTTTGAGCATTTTCATTAAAATCATCATTTTCATCTACGTCCTGGGTCTCCCTGCGTCTCTCCTCACCACCACCAACCACACACCGTGACAAACTCTTTAGCTGAAATTATGTTTTAACTAGTCGTCGCTGCACTTATTGGCATTTCTTACTGTCTTTTCTGGATACAGAACGTTGAGCTGGACAACATATCGAATTGCAGCTGTCAATTTCGGTGCATGCAGCGGTGCAATCACAAAGAACTACAGGGTGGAATATTTGGTAGGATATTATATTTCAAGTGAAAAGCTTTGGTGGATGTGGATGCCCACATCAGGGTCAAGTTTAGCTGACAAACTAGTCTTTAGATTTTAAGATGTTCAGTGTTTATGAAGCAGCAAAACATTTTCTGTGAGCTCTGTCAAAATATTTCTGGGGGAAATATGGCGAAAGCTAAATATTAGCAGGTCTGAGATTATTGATGACTGCAGATGTGTTGATTCAGATGTCGAGGAACAATTAACTGGAACTTCAGTTGGGACAAAAATGTGGTCGTGGTCAAGAAAACAATCTTTAGCATCTGATTGAGTTAAGTGGACTACAATTATAACGTGGAAGTATATAATATAATAATCCAGCATTTTCTACTCCTAATTTGCCTGGATGGGCTTCAGGCCCACAAAGTTTGTAGTTGACCAAGAAAGTGTGCTTAAACTGAGAAAACGCCTTAAATGAGAATTAAAATGAAACTGATGTAAAACATCCTTAAGGATCTAAAACCAAGTCTAGTTCCTTTTGACTCAGTTGACCATGCTTGGGATCACTGAGAGGAACCGAGAACCCGAACCCTACATGAGCTTCTGACACTGGTGTGTAGTTCACCGTTACACCACCATATTTAGCACAGAACGCTCAAGATCACATTATTAAAACCAAACGCAACCTTTTGATGCCCAGTCTGATATTGTATTTCTGTTTTTCTGGTTTGGACTTTGGAGCTTTAGCAAACTGAAGAGTCGTCCATCCACTTTGCTGTTTTCTGCAAGGAATGGTCAAAAAACAAAAACAGCATGATGTCACTTTGCCCTAAAGCATGTAACAGTCAAGTCGTATTTACTAAACTCACAAAATCCAATTAAAGCTTAACGTTGACTTCTAGAAAATGTGAAGAAAGATGGAGCTGGATTCAGGGAAGAGCTGCTTGTTGGTTTTCAGTACATTTCTGTCCTTCTCAGTTTGCATCCAAAGTTAAGTCTTCATTTTAACAACCTGTCAAATAAACAAGACCAGACACCACACTTCATAAAAGCTGTGGGTCATTCAGCCTTTTCCTCTCGATCTGAGACGTCACCTATGAATTTCAGTTCAACCATTGCAAATACTGAGTTCAAACACAAAAAAACCCAAAAATCTTTACACTACTCGGCTTAGTTATTTCTTTCAAACCCGTTTTGAAATTAGACTGGTTTATATCGCTCTACGAAAACTTCCTTCCACCTCTGTATCCACAGCTCCTTAATTTTACAGGAAAATGAGCCGTAAGAGGAAAAACCATTAACATCAGCAAAATATATTTCAAGCAGAGAGAATGGCTGGATGTGCTGGCCGGTGACGAGAGCAGCCAGCAGGCTCTTTAGCCTCCTATGTCCGTCCCTATCGCTTCATTTTGCTTCCAAAACATCTAACGTACATGTCGGGGAAGGAGCACTAAAACTAGATCTCCTAAGGATAAAAAAGTGAGAGGCTACGACAGCAGCAAATTGGCTTTTCTCTCCCGTGAGCCTTACTCCAGACTTTCCCCCCTGCATGGGAGCAATTTGAATCGTGCAGTAATTGCTTATGTTGCTTTTCTCCCAACACCGTTTCTACAATGGAGTCTGATCTCATTACTTTCGCCCGCGGTTGAGTTCTCAGCCGCTTGGTGCAGGAGGAATAATGCTAAGTGGTGTGTTAACAAAAAAAAAAAAAAAAAAAAGAGGGAGAAGTGATTTTTGTCATGCTTTTCGGCAAGTGGAGTTAGAACAAGCATACAAACCGTGACGGCGCATCATTCTGAAGCTCATCCCTGTCTTGTCAAATGAAGCAATTTTTAAGAGATCCTTTTTTATTTTTCACAAAATGGTTTAAATGCTGCTTCCTCTTTTATTAGCTTGTTTTAAAGCAGATTGTTGTTGTTGTTTTTTTTTAGCATGATGAAGATAGAGGAAGAGCCAAAGGAGCAGCAGAGAAATGGATGCGACAAGAGTTATGAAATAGAAATCAAAAGCTGCACTCCCGCCTCGTTGCAGTCGAGTAGACTGGGTATGGTTTTCCAGAGAGTGTGTGGCGCATGTTAGCCCTGGGTGATATGCTTCTTTGTGAAGTACTGTGTATTACTTTTTTATTTTAAAAGACAGGGAGGCTCTAGATATAGCTTCTGCCCAAACAGCACTTTGCAATTCACCCATGTGCTCACATTGAGGAAAGGTCACTTAAGCAAATAAACTGAAGGATGAGTAATGTCTTATAAATGCCTAAAAGGAAAAAAAAAAACAAAAAACAAGTTGGAATATTTTACAGTGTTCAGAGAAATAGGACACAAACTTTTTTTTGGAGGCATTTACACGTCTTTTCCATAACCGTCGGCTGTGGTCCACAGTGAGGGCTGCAATGAATTCGACACCGAAAGCGACTGCAAACTCTAAGCTGAGAGAAAAGTCGAGTCTTCAGTCGTTCCAGCATTCCCAGTTCAAGAAGAGACCTGGCAGCAGCAGCAACGGCAGAGCGAGCTCCGCTTGGCTGGCTTCTCCTCTCTGACTCCCTCTGGCACCTGATTCAGTGTCGGAGTCCTTCTCAGAGTATGGCGGGATGACGTTGAACTCCTCATTTGCTCCCTCTTCCTGTTCCTCCTCTTGGTCACTGTCCTCCATCTGTGGAGGAGAGAAAGAGTGACTGCTCCAACTAACAAGCGCAATGAAACATGGAGGGACGGTGTAGACTCAAGAAGAGTCGGAGTTTGCTACGCATGAAAACACCTCAAATATACAAAGAAAATATTCAAGATGAGAATTTAAACCTTCAAAATGGCCTTGATTTGTTTTGGTTTGGTTTTTTATCTACTAGCACTTGGGACTAGATGCTGCTAGCATCTGGTAGCATCAGATTCATGAAGTCCTACAAGTTTTGAACTGGGCCTCTATGGATAAGACTTGTTTGTCCAACATAAACCCCAGATGCGTGAAATTTCTCCGAAATTTGGAGGCCAAAACAGTACTTCAAACTTGTTGTTGTGACACAAACCATTTCTGATTCCTTTGTACTTTCAACATAATCCTACTGAAAGAGGCCACAGCAATTAGGAAATATATTGTCAATACATGTCAAAGTAACATCTGCGTAGCAGGACCCAAAGTCCATTTTTTCCGATAAAGTTACTCAAGTAAGTAAATGTAATTGAGTAAATGTTATTAGTTACTGCCCAAATCTGCCCACATCCCCATTAGCAACTTTTAATGACCTTATTTGTTTGTCTGGGTTCCTTATGATCACCTTGATTTAGCAAAGAAACCAGCGTATTTTGGGAATGTCTGTAAAGTTCTGCATCTGCTCCACAACATGAACATTCAGGAACAGGACTGAGAAGAAACAGGCTGTTGAACATGAAAAAAAAAAAATCCAAAGAGAATGAGGTCATGTTCTTCCTGATAAAATATTCCATTGAAGCTGCTGCCATAAGACGGCCATCGTTGGATATCTCTGCAGCAACTGCAAGGTTCCTCCACGGGGCTTCATGCCTATATGGGCTAGCATAATTTCTGCTTTAAAATCTCCAAGTTATGCATCGAAGCTCAAAGGCAAGCAGAGCCAAACTGCTGTCTGCTCTTTTATTTGCTTATGACAAAAACTGCGAAAGAACAACTCCAAATGCATGGAAAATAAAACCGCCTTGTTTGCATCAAGCAACACTATGGGACTGTTGACAATAGGATTGTTATGGGATGCATGGAAATATAATACTCAGTGGTTTGAAGATGTGCAGCTGCATTTATTTAATATCACTTCTGAGTGACAACACCTCAGTTCTCAGCTTAGATTGGACTTTTTCCATCTATGTATAAATATGTTGCATATTATATTTACATGCACAACGCAGATCACCTGGGGGACAGCCTTCTGCTTCAGCATACCTGATGCCACTGTCTTCCAGGGTTCCCTCCCCCTTCCTGCATCCTCTGTTTCGCTTTTACAAAAAGGTCACGGAGCGAGCGCCACACTTTTCTGCAGGCAGCCTCTTCCATGGACGACAACCTTGCAAGCAACAGCTTGCACAAAAACAACAGCTTCCATGCGACCCGAACAGTAAGAATCAATGCCGAACTGTGATACTACACTAGACTGACAATACACACCTGATTTTATTACATTTTCATTTATCTCCTGCCCTACAACAATATTATTTGTGAAAGTTTAGGTCGAAAAGTGGAGGATTTTGCACAGAACTGTTCCATGAATTCAAGTGAAATTAGATCAGTTCTATTGTTATTTTTAATGATTGTGACGCTGTTGGTGCAAAATCAGTGAGTAGTTTTTGTGATTCACCGAGATGCTGAATTTCTTTTTGCAGCTAAAAGTGACAGCCTGATGAAGGGACGTTCTACTTCTGGATGTTTTTGCTGCCACTGCATTTCACTACAGCACTATTTATGTCCTCCAGCTAAACGTAGTGTGTCAATTTAGCAAAACAATTAAGGTAGCCGTCACCGTCCACAATGGGAAGCATGGAGACATTCAGGTTCAAATGGGCAAATCAGCAAATTGACCCGCAAACACCCCTGAGATGTTACGTGAATGTTTACTCAAGACAATTTTAAGAAATTGTAATTTCTCAACCACATCTCCATGTTGGCCGGACTAGTGTCCAGCAATGATCTAAACTCACAAATTTCAAACACCAGTCAGTGTCATTTGATTTATTTCACTGGATTCCCGCCACATCATTGTAAAGAGGTATTTAAATGGAAGTGTGCAGAAGAAATGCAAAAGTCAAACACCTGAACTGTGGGGTCTGGGTCTCCTGAGGTTCTATTGCAATACAGGATATAGTAAGATTACAACTGTACATATGAACCAGACGAGCGCACTCCCATGAATAATAACAGTCAAGATTGCAGCAAACACCTACAGCTAATCCTGAACCACACTGAGAGGTGGAGATAGAAGAGGAAGTGAGACAAGAATAATCTGGGATTATGCAGGAAGCTGCTGGGCCTCAACTCACTGCTACAGTCCTCAGTGAAACGTCGGCGTTAGGATTTGATATGCAGTCCCCTGACTGGAGCCGTATCTCCAACACCGACACACAGCGAGAGAGTAGCAGGAGTTTGTGCTTACGCTGTTGAATTCAGGGAGCGTGTTGACGCTAACGTGGACCCTCTCCTGGAAGACGCGAGGGGAGGGCTGAGAAACTGGCACCGGCGTGTGTTCCACCGGAGGAGGCGCTGAGATTCCCATGGAGCTGATGGCATTGCCTAAAAACAAAATCAGCAGGGGACGTTTTCATTAGTTTCACATCTTAATTCCGCTTTGAATCATCACTAAAACATTATCAGTGTGTGTTCTCAGCTAAGATGGAGCCAAATACTCCAAGTTCTTCACTATTAATAACAAAAGTTACCTTTTGATGAGCTTAGTTTAGAAATATATATATTTTTTTGTTTAAGAGAGATTCGCTCAACTAATTAAAACCTTATATACAAGTTTATAGTGAAATTACTCAACAGAACAAAACATTTGAAGAACTAAAGTATAAAAATGAAGGACTTTCATTTTTATACTTTTATTCAATGTTGATATAGAATTTTGTTCTGAGTACTGAGGTGGCAGAGAAAATAAAACTTTATTTAATCTGTCCAATAAACCAATTCTGCATTGATTTGTATCATTCTGGATTTAAAATGGTTACAAAATATTTTTAAGTTTTCTAAAGGATGCCAATCGATTAATATCTGACAAGAATCCCAAAACTTCAGAAAAGAAACATCATAGTTCCTCCACTGTATGTAATATATCCATGAGGTTTATTTCCACACATTCATGCATTTTTTAAGGATTTCTATGGGAAACAATGCAAGAATCAACAGAAATTTTGTGAAAACAACCATTGTTTTCCAAACGTGTGATATTTTCCACAATGAGTAAAAGGATTTAAGTTTATTTTTATGGGGGGTTTTTTTTACACATTTTTTCTAATATATTTTGTCTGGCATTCTGTAAGAGATATCACTTATTGTAAAAAATATATATAAAATAAGAACAACAGAAAAAGTAACATGGTAGCATGTATTCTTGCTCACATGTTGTGTTTTCCATCTAATTTCAACTTGCAAAGCTGATTCTGGACACGGCTGCAGCCACAGAGGATAAAAGTCAAACAAACGCTATGGAGTCAAAAACCTGCCCAGAAAATTATATTCTAACCAATTTAAAAAAAATAAAAAACTCAATTTACACTCAATTCTGTGGCTCAATTATCAGATGCAAATATATACTTTCATGCTAAATTATTCCAGTGTCAGTTCTTCCTCACTTGGAGTTTTTCCTCTTTTGTAAGGCACAACTTCTTTTCAGCTTTTTGTCTCGAGCCGAGAAGGGAGAAGAAATATTTAAGTGTTAAACTGAATGTGGAAAATGTAGCTGGTCACATCTGGATGGGCTGTTTAATCGGCAACATAATGAGCCCTGCCACAGGCCCGTGTGCTGCTCACACATGGTCACTCTGCAGTGACAAAAACATTACAAAAACGAGCTTCACAAAGTTAACCTTTTTGCAAATGGATAAAGAAAGCAGTTAACTTTTTTCAGTTTCAAAAACAAAACAACAAAAAAAAGATTAATTAATTTGAGGTTATTCACAAGCATCTATTTAATATAAGAATGGGAAGAAATGCCAGTTTTCTGGAATAAACCAGCAGCTGGTATCTCCAGGATATCTGTGGTAGCCGACTGGCAGGCGAAAACAGGCATGCAGAGTTCCCATTGTCTCCCACTATCTTCACTTTGCATTGGTTTACAATCACAACTAATCTGAGCCTCAACGTTATTTCTGGAAGACAATGTTGAGAACAAAATGTGAGTGCTGTACGCTAAATGAAAGTCACATACAGCTTGATTGTTAATGAGGCCCCTCATTGTGAAATCTTATTTCTAATTAAAACCGCCTGTCTGTCTGTCCCCTATTGCTTTCATTTGTTTTGTTTTTTTTTTAGTACGGCACATGCTAAACAAGGCATCCTTATACACCAGCAGGACGTACTGAGCAAGACCTCTAGATGCTCGTTCTGGTTTGGCTACGACTCAACCTCGAGCCGCTTCCAGTTGATCACGATTTGGTGAAAGGACTCATCGACTCTGCCGAGTCTCAGAATCACATTCGCATTTGGCAGGCGGCCAAGCACCCGGGAGAACATCTCTCGCTGTTCATTTATTTATAAGAAAACATTATGGTTCAGTGACTTGCCCTCTCAATCATCAATTATGGCCCACCTCATTTGAATTCTGTATTAATGCACATTAGAAAGCGCTCAGTTAGATTAGCATCTCGCCATTCATTTAGATAATACTTACATTTGACAGCTGAAATACGACGTCTCCTCTGTTATTACAGTGATACAAGGATTGTCGGCTGCGAGTTTATTCTACAAAGTATAAAGACATGAAGGAAATTGGCAACCTAAGCTGCAGCATTGACTCATTAACATTTCAGAAGAACTATAATTTATTTTAATTCATGTTTCTTGCCACATTTCAATCCAGAATTTTCAAGTAACTGTGGTTATGCTCTCAGTTTTAATGATCTGCTTCACATGAGGCCATTATTCACAATATTCACAGAGAGAAGAGGGAAATCGAAAACTTCCACAAACTGCCGGAGCAAATGTTTGTGTTTAGTTTAATCCTTACAGTAGAGACTTAAAGTATCTCACTGTGTTCTGACGGTAAGAAAGGAGCAGGAGATCATAAGGTCTTTTATACCTGATCATTTTCAAACCTTGGATTTTATTTATTTTGTTGTCTGATCATGTCTATTACAGATGTAATCCCTAAATACAGCAATCTGTTCTTCACAAACAGAAACCTTTCAACCAGTTTCACTCTAGTAATTACATATTAGTTGATCAATATTATAGAAAATTGGATTGTGATATTATTACGTCTCTGTGACTTTCAGCATATGTTTCAGATGTTAATATCTGCTAAGCTGTAACGCCAGTTATCCAAAATGATTAGATTTGTTTACTGCGCCTCTGCGTTGTTCTTTTAAGGATTTGATTCATAAATTAAATGAAGTAATATTTTATTTTACTTGAAACAAAAAGCATAGTAATTAGGCTTTTAGGAACACATGAAAAAAATATCTCTCAGTCACCAATATACAAATTATGCATAATTGTTAAGTTGAATAAAGAGCCATCTGGGAGGCATGAGGGAAGAGACCTCCCATTACTGCTCTTCTCTTTTTAGCATGATCCAAAAGCGGGTCCAGATGTATCTACCGAAAAAGACAAATTACAGAAAAGCCATATTTAGATTTCTCTATAGTGCCTCGGTCTGCTGTGGATCATATAAAGTCCTTGGTTTCCTCACAGGTTTTCTAAAAGATTTGAGTATGGCAGCTAAAATATTCATGAAAGAATGTTCATTTGATATCTATTATTTACTAAAAAACCAAATAAGGACTCAGTTTTTCTCAACCATAGCCACCAGATTTTTTAGTTAAACAGTCCAGGTAATCCAAAGAGTCCATCAAGTCCTGAGTGGGCGCAATTTATGGCCCACTGGGACAGTTCAGCCCTAAAACTGAACTGTCCCACAAACTTTCTCATGCACTTCCCTTACGTAGACACAAGTTGTTGCTGAACAGATTCTGGATGCGTTGACAGCCCTGCAGTTCGTTCCCGCTGCCTTCACATGAGCACCACTGGGACACCTCCGTGCTGCTGTTGCTCACATAGTTGGGAGTCATGATGGTTCCTGGAAAACAAAGGTTTAAAACTCTTTAAACAACACTTTCCATCAGCAAAAGTACAGAATTTGCACCGTGCAAAAACAATTTTAGATTATGAAGTCAGCAGTTGTCTGGTTTTTGTTATGACTGCAAGTACACTCAAGCTTTTGTTGTATTTTAAAACGGAAGGAAATAAAATTATTTTTATGCTCATGCAAACCATCAAGAAATGGTGCTTTTGAATCACAGCATTTTAATTGATCTACATCTTTATTTTGTGCATTAAAACAAAGAATATGTGAATTAAATTTTAGAAACACAAAACTGATAATGAGTTCTGCTACTGGCTTTTGTTATTTTCCCCTCTCGGCTTTTCTGTTTCACTTTGTTCCATGTTTTAAATTTTTTTCAGCGTCTCACCTATGAGTCCGGTATAAGCCTTGAGGCACATGGCTCTGCTCTCTCGCATACAGCCAGAGGCAGAAAGAGAGGACTGCTGACAGTTGTGTTGGAAATCTGCAAATCGGGATCTGAAACACACACACACGCACACACACAGGTACACACACACACACACAGGCACACACACTCAGTGGAGAAAATGGGTTTTCGGAGCGTCAACACATAAAAACTGAATGCATTTTAAAGTGTTCTGGAAGTTTTATTTTGGCACTCGGGGCTGTCATAAATCAAAACAATGAAATAAATTGAAGGATGAGAAAGAGAAGTACCTACATTAGAAATATGTTTGGAAATTTGTTGTTGTTTTTTTCAGCACAACAAACACTTCTTTGTAAGAAAACTTCAGAAATTAAATCTTATCTGTTTGGATCTCATTTTCAATGCATACAGACAAAAAACAACACATGAATCTTCACTGCATGAACTCGAATTCAAACTGAATACATGGAAGTTTCTGGTTGTATTGTGGGGTGAAAAAAAAGTGAAAAGGTTAAATATTTTTACAGTGCATAACAAGTTGGATTAAGTGAATTAAGAAGAGCTTTCCAATTTCAATTTGTTTAATACTGAGGGCTTAGGGAGTGAACCAAACATATTTTTATCTCTTTACTGAAGGAGCGTTTCAGGGATTTTCCCATTGATTGGCTGAAACTTGTGGCTGCCTTGAGAAACAAAATAATAAAAGTATTTTCTTAAACAGAACGAGCTGTGCTGCTAATAACACACCAGCTTTGCTATGTGGCTGCAGAATGAGTCTCTGGAAAATGTCCTTTTATTATTGCCAACCGTTTTCATTTAGAAAATATAAACTATATGTCATAACATTAGTAAATGCTACACCTGTTTTGCTATAATTTCCCTTACAGACTAAATTACTAACCAAATCCGTCATTTTCCGTTCCAGGAAAGTGTGTAGGGTGCTCCCCTCTGCTTTGTGCTGCATGTGTTTATGAATAAAGTAATCGCTACGGATGAATCAGTTAAGAGTCATAAATTTAAGTCTTTTTTTTTTTTTTTCTCCCTGGAAAATGCACCGTGCTGCTTCAGGGGGGATGGGGAAGTCTCTCTCAGGTGGAGTAGTTCAGTTGTCTCCCGGTATTATTCATGACAGCTGGGAAAAGAGACCATGAAATTGACCGTGGGTTTGGGTGTAGCTTCTGCTGTGGCTGCTGTACCATGTCTAAGTGGTGAGAGGAGAGCCAAGGCAGGAAGAAAAGCTTTTTATGATCAGTCAGCCTGAGTCCCTGCGACCTAGAGAGCGTGACTATTAACTAAGCTCTGTACTATCCACGAACGGGCAAGAAGTTCTGCAGACGCAGAACTTTCTTGAGCGTTTTGGGACTCTCGGTGGGGATGATGCCCTGGGGCTGACCCGGTACGCACAGTTCGGATTTTACAAACCAGTTGGCCTGGGAGCCAGTGGAGATCTCTTAGGAGGAACTGGAGTAAGATGGTAGAAGCAAAACAGCTTAAGCTTAACCACTGCTCCCATAGTATGACCCTAAATTAGTCTATATTTCTACATAGAAAGTCTAAATAGAACCTTCAAGATAGCAAGTGTGTTTAAATATTATTTTATCATTTTATCAATCAAATCAAAGCAGCTTTATCTGTATACTGTCAAATTATTTCAATGTGAAACGATGTTCAATGTTATTTAATTTTGAAAAATATTTATCATATGCAGAGACATTCATTTAGTAACATTTTAAGTTTAGAAATGGGTTTTATCAATATATTTTGGCACAACTGGCCATTTGAGAACATTAAATATCCTGATATGGCCCAACATGAAAATGAGTTTGACACTGCTGGTACAGATTAAAGTATGCACATATATAAAACCTATAAGTCCACATAAGGTGAGGTGGTCCGATTGAAATGTAATTTAAAATGAGATTTGTTGATGACCCTGAACCCAAAGATCACAGAAACATTGACCTGTTTGTTAAAAAATAAAACATATCTCAGGTTATAGATCTGCAGAGCTTGTAGCAACTTATCCCCAGAGATCTGCAGCTACAAATACAGCAAACATGTTTCTAAAATCATCAATCCTGCGGAGCTAAACCTTCTCAAGAGCTTATATGTGCATAATTTTGAAAACATGCACTTTAACTTTTGCTTAAAATTTAGAATTATGAACTACTTTGCAAAGGTCTATCATATTCAACCCCAATAAACTCATTTTATGCATATTTTAAGTTTTTGGCTGTCGTGAAAAAGCATGAAAAGTTGAACTGTTATGAATATTTGAGTGAACTAATGCAACTACTTTGGAAAGTGGGTAGATGGGTTGCTGCTCATCGCTTTGCAGACTTTACTGCTCCTGTTTCTCTGCACACAGGCTCTTACCTACACAGCTCGTCTCTGGAGCAGTAGTTCTGGAGGCTGAGGCAGTTGGGCTTGCCGACTCTTTCCTCCCCTCTTGCGTTCTCCTCAAAGGAACATGATGGCACAATGGTTTTCCTCCGGCGCTCCCCACACAGAGTGTCAGAGCAGGGACAGAAAAGAAGAGCGAAGCTGTACTCCTCCGGCACACGCTCCAGGAAGCGCCGCAGGGCTTTGTGGCATTTCTGGCGGTTGCAGCTGTTGTCGGTGGCTGTTGCTCGCTTGGTGCAAGCTACCACATACTCTGAGCGCAGGGAGCCACATTTCTCATAGAGGCCGCAGTCCTGAGCGGCCTTCAGACACTGGTTCTGGCCGTCCACGACAACAGAGGAAGCTGCAGGAAGCAGAGTACCGACTCGTTAGTGTGAAGTAAAACAAACAGCTTTCTAAACCAACAGGACATACTCTACCTGCCATGATGGAGGCCATTCGCGACACCTCTATGTTTCTCACCAGATTCAACTTCAGCTCTTCATATGGGGACACTTCATACTCATCGTACACTGAAACAACATTGGACCACATGAATGAAGCAATGAAGCAAAGAACACCCACGTACAAAGTGTGTGTTTTCTACCCACCTGCGAATCTCACGGTCCAGTAAACCTTCAGGCAGTGCTCCTCTCTGCGAGAGCCCCGCTGACACTTGCAGACTTGAAGGGGCTGATAATGCTGCAGTGAGTTTTGGGCCTCCAGGCACTCCAGGCGGGCATCTGAACTGAGAGGCGACACGGCTTCCTCTGCCGCACAGTACTCCAGCAGGCGATAGATGCCTTTGCAGGACGGCTCCTGGACACAGCCCTGCTCCGCCACCAGACAGTCTAAGGACGCAGATACTGAAACGCCGCCTGCAGAAGAGGAGACTCTAACATTATGAGCTGCAAACAGGTTCATTGCAGACGCTACGGGTTGCAAGCTAAAAAGTAAGGTAACAGTGTGCTCAATTATGAATAGGTTGTTATGTGTTATTAATATCCCACGATCGGTGAAGGTCAGTGGATAATGAATCAAGTTCATCCTTTCAGCAAAAACCATGTCCGGCTGCACTTCACCTGTCAGAGCAGAAGGTTTGCAGTTTATGTTCTGGTCAAAAAGTCAAGTCAAGCCTGAAGTCTTTGCAATTAATGTGCAACTTGAGTGTGAAACTCAGGTCTCCATCTCAGCCAGGAAGCAGGCTTGTAGTGATAGATTGCAGACAGCATTCTATGAAGTAACATACACCAAAATACACGATTTTAGATTAGATGTGGTTACATGCAACACTACAACGAAATGATCAATCATCACATTTAAACTAAAACAGGCAGTTAATCAGCTCATCTCAGGTTTCAGGCATGGCGTTAAAAAAATCTAAATCAGTGCAGAAACCTGGCTCGTCAACTTTATGATCCCTTAAAGGGATTAAAAAGATGTTAAAAAAAGATGAAATTTTGGAGCTGCAGCTCTTTTGCAATAAAACACCTTATTACCTTATTTGGATGCAGAAAAACATTTAGTTGACATTTTTCTTAATAGTTTTGAGAGTCAAGTATTGAACCACCTCAAAATTTCACCTGCACAGAGCCAAATTATCCATGAAGACAAAGGCAGATTGTTGACCCAAATCAAGACCTCTAGATCAAAGTTTTATTATCTGACAAGAAAAAAATTAATGACATTGTCCTAATGTTTCCCAATGTTACTTGCATAAGAAGATCTGTTTTTCCAACAGGTCAAATTAGTGAGTAATTTTTTTCACCGTCAGCTCAGGTTTTTGTTTGTATTTTTATGTAACGGTTTTAATAATTTCTTCAGCATCTTAATGGTTTTCTCAACTATATTCTTTCTCACAAGTCAATGGTAGACTGTGTAGACTAGCAACAGTTCCTATATTTTCTAGTCTGTGAAACCTTCAAATTATTTGTGAGAACAAAATATCTGTATTCCTAGTTTTCTTGAAAATATTGCTAAAATATTGCCACCTTGTCTTGAACCTTGCACAGTTTGCCAGCTTGTCTCTTGAGCAGAAGGTATCGTTAAAACTCTTTTTTGCCTAAATGGTCTCACTGTATTCTCCTGTCTGACTTATTGCAGAGTTTTGGTAAGTCCGTGGTCGCCCAAGCAAAAGGTTTTGATGCCCTAAAGTCCCCTTTCTCTTTTACAACCATTTTGTTTTACTGTTGTTTATTTTGTGGAAGTAATTGGCCAAGGTCTTGGTAATGACTGCACACTTATTTCAGCTTCTTTTGCCTATATTTCATCAGCTAATACAAACACATGTACAATAAAGATTGTACACTGTTAAATCACAACACAGTAATGTCAGATTCCTGGCAATGCTCAGTGTTGGACCATATTGATGTCTTTCATGAGTCATACTAGTAATGAAGTTTTTATTTTTTATTTTTTACAGGCGATAATTTATCCAGGTTCCCCAGTGCAGGATTACAGTTGCTGACATCCATCCAAAGCACATTTTCAAGATTGATTTCCTTTCTTTCTGATTTCACAGATGTTCACTTCGCCGGAACAACGTTTTCAAGCGTTGATTATTTTGACAAACTCTATTTTCATCACTGGATTCATCACTGGAGAGCTTCTTGGATATAGCAACCCCAGCAGCATTGCCTTCATAAACTTGGCATAAATTCTGGCGAATAGACAGCCTCACACACACACAAACATAAAAAAAAAAGAAAAAAAATATGAACATGATAATTTTCTGCCTCAAAAGCGACGCTGTTCAGCAGCCAACTCTCAAATATGAGATGTGTCTAGAATGCACAAACCCTCACAGGGAGTTTTTTTTTCTAAAACATCGTTTGAACTACTCCATTCATCATCACAATAAAACTTGCATTGTCATGAGAGTCGTTAGACTCTGAAGGATAAAATATGTTGAAAACATTTGTTATGCTTATTGTACTTCATATACTGTAGGGACATACATGTAATTTATTTGGAAAACATATATCATTGTCAGACGCCGTAACAGTGAGTGTGAGAACCTTCTTTAACAGAAATGCATTTATTTGGAAAAAGCATTTTAGCCAACATCAAACACCGCCTCCAGATGCAACACCTCTGTGAAGCTAAAAACAGTTTATTTAACACAATTCAGCTTTGGAAACAGGCCTACAGTTATTTGAGCATACTAAATTTACACAAAGAGTAAAGCTACAGTTTTTATGCAGTAATGTGTTTCAAAAGGTAGGCGAAAGGAGAACAGCATGATTATAAAAATAAATCGTAATCACTATTTTTGGTACAACTCTTCAATATGATACGTTCATTTAAGTTCAGGAAAGAAATGGCGTTTACTGCACACAAAGCAAATATTTGCTTGAAATGTTGGCTTTGAGCCATTCGAGAAGCACTGTAGCTGAAACTAAACTCCAAATCACACCTCAGTAAAGAAGTGCCAATATGAAATCACTTCTCAGAAAGCCAACTACTACAACAACCACAGGCACGCCTCCAATCCATATTCAAGAAATTCCAGTCAACTTTTCGCTCTTTTCATAGTACAGAGACAGTTTTCACAAATCATCCGATCCTACAACTCCACAGGACTCACAGACTTTGCCTGCAGCTACTTCCTGTCTTATCTCACAAATCTTGTGAGGATCATTTCTCTTTGACACTCACTGTCACGTTAGGGCTATCCCGTGGTTTGGTCCTTCACCTATTCTCTTCATCATCATCTATCTCCTTCTTTCTCTGGATCAAGTCACCATCTGTAATGGAATTTTCATTTCGCCGCCATGAAGATGCAGCCAATTACATGTCAAAAACCAGAGCTGCACTTCCAGTCATTGCCATCAATGTTGGCACCAAAAGATGCCATCTTTTGTTGAGGTGCTGAGGAATGTTGCAATTTATTAAAATTGAATGAATATTAATGAAATTCATTAAATTTCATTGAAATTGATTAAAACTAAGAATAACGTCCTAAAACAAAGGCCTGCGCAGTCAAGATTCAGACGTGGTTATAAGGCGACAAGCCAAAATATTTACACTCTACAATACAGAGCTATTAATCCTCAGTACTCGTTTCTCTTCAGAACCACAACAGCCCGTCTGTCTATAGAAATAAGGAGTTAGGGTTGTTTTGACTCAAAATGTTCCAACCAGGAAGGTCTGTGAGAGAAAAGCCACAAATCTCTCCATAATGATGATTCTTGCCCCATTAGAGTCACAAAGCAGAAAAGACAGAAGCTGCCTGAGGGAAACAATGGGGGGAAATGCTCTTTGTGAGTGAAAAATGTATTTTATTAAAGCTCTTCTGGAAATTAGTTTTTTTTTAATGTGACACCTAATTACCCTTACCAGTTTCTACCCATACGATCTCAGTCTAGCAAAAAATATAACGTGTGTGTATAGGAAACACACACACTTTTCGTCTTGATTTTGTGAATTTGTCGTACCCTTTTATCAGTGCACGCCACGCAGAAGAAGAGGCGAGCAAACGCATAAAGTGTGTTAGAAATTAAACCTAATGAATGATGGCTAGCAGATCCGTACCTGTCTTTTTATCACATGTGCTCACTGGCTCAGCTCGTAAACATAAACATATAATCCATCGCCTCAGTTCATGCACAAACCCGGCTTTTGAGTTCGTCTGGTGACACACTTCGATTAAGCTCCTGCTGACACGTGGCACAAAGCGCGACTGCAATTCAATTCTGCTGCTGCATGTTTTGTAATCTCGAGCACCGCATGAGGTCCATGTCTCACTTTGGTATGAGACATATCATGAACAGAAGTTGTGTTTCATCCCCGCCGCAGGAAAACCTCCAAAGCCGCCGCACAGAATCCATAGGAGGAGGCGGGACGAAAAAATAGTATCACACAGGGCAGTGAGTCATTGTCACAGTCACAGCTCCGCGTGAAGTGTAAAGGAGATCATTACCTGTCTATCTGCAAAGTCTGCCTATGTATTATGTATTGCTAATTGTACCAAAGTGTCAAATCCCACTGTGTTGAGCTGCAGTTTAAAGAAGCTTCTTGTAATCTTCTGTATGCACAGAGAGCACTTTGTTTTCTTCTATTCTTACCACAGCGGAAAACAGAGAGCCAACAGTCTAAATTGCAAAGAATTGCAATTGTATGGAGGCAATTTTTGTTGTATGCAACTGGGATTTTAAGTAACAGACCAACATGAAGTAGTCCATAATTGTGAAGTGGAAGCCATATGATGAATGGCCTTCAACGTTTTTTACAAATAGCAATCTGAAAAGTGAGGCACGGATTTTAAATTTGGGGTTTGCCTCAACCAGCTTTGCAAACTGAAAACTGAAATGCTGCTAATTTGTCTTTAATAACTCGAGTTCATTCAGATTGGGCGACGTCTACGTTAAGCCTATGGCTACAGAAAATGCATTTAACAGTTTTAAAATAAAAGCCATTGTTTTCATTCAGCTTCATAATTATGAACTATTTTGTCTTTCCTTTATAAAATCCATATAACATGTACTTTTGTTTGTAGTACATTTTAACAGGAAAAAAGGCTTTACAGTGGCAAGGCAAAGTAAATTCTGCAATGCAACATTTAAAAAAAAAAAAAAAAAAAGTAGAAAGCCTGATTGAGAAAAATGTTAGAAAAGACAGAGGCTGATTTTTATTTTAAATGATATAAAATAGGAAAAAAAAAAAACGTAAGACATGAATTACTTTGATATGCGAGCACCCTATTGATTTCTCACTGGAGTGATTAATAGAATTTGTGAGGCAAAGCTGATGAAGGTTAACGCCGTGATTTTTGCGCCGCCCTCAACACTCTGCGCCCACTCTCACAGGGAGAGACGGTTTGGCAAGTTCCTCTTCTGTCTCTTCAAACATGGTGGGTTAGGCTGAAGAGAATCCAGAT